GTGGAACAGACAGAAGGCCCCTGTGTCCCTGATTGAATCATGAAGAGACTGTACTGTCCTGTTTACCTGTGGCCTTCTTGTAGTGTAAAATAATAATAATAACACCCTATTTGATGCCTCTACAATGGAACTTGTCTTTCCGGGAATCACAAACACCATCCTTACTTATATAGAGCTCCCAGTGAAAATTCAGGAAAATGGAGAGGAACTGGTAGTAACCTGGAAAGGGAAGACAGTGGCAGCTACTCCCTTTCCCCAAACCTGGCTCTCTTGTAACTCTTGTGGCAGGAGCAGTTGGTTCAGGAACTCATACTCCCCTCAGAGGAGAACAAATGGTAATAGACATGGTTTTTTCCCTCTCCTTCCCTCCTGCCGTATTCCACAGAAAGGGTTACATTAATGTGTAATAACACATATGTTATTTTTCCTACCAAACTCAGTTTTTTTAGGGGAACATTCCCCTTTCACATAATTCCAGAAGGCTGACCCCCTCCAAAGTCACCAAGGATCCCTTCAGATCTGCCAGTCAGACACCTACAATTATCAAGGATGGGAACATGACTGAGGGAAATTAATATCAGATTACCAATTAATTATATTAATTAATATCAGATACCAATTAATATCAGATACCAATTAATATCAGATCTGGGACTTATGCTGAAACTGTTAGAAGAGATATTCTGTTTTCATGAAGTTCATTCAGGTGGTAGAATGTCAGCTAGAACATCTGGTAGCTAGCCTTACCGTTGCCCTGGTACCTGAGAAGGAATTCAACACAGAGTTAGAGAGAATCAAAAGATGGAAAGTGACAAGGCTGATGATACTGTGTGATGTTCTGGATCCAACTGTGCCACTTCTGGCCATAAGCCAACAAATTTCCTGTTTTTCTCGAGCCAGTGCTATTTCTTGAGTGCTTGAGTGCTATTTCTATCCTTTGCAACCCACAGAATCTCGACCATGCAGGTAGACCACAGAATGGCCTTTGCTTGACAATTAGAATTTCAATAAACCATGAACAAGGAGGAATAGGTGAGGAGTTGTTCCAAGGAACAGATTAAGATTCAGATAATAATAATTCGATGCTGGATGCTTTTGTGTATGGTTTCTCATTTAATTCTCAGAGAGTCCTGTTGGATTGGTGCTACAGATGAGGGACAAGAAAGAGGAGTTAATGAATGGCCTCCGACTCTAAATCCTTAAACTCTTTTCCTGGCCTGATCCTTCCTCTGGCTCAGAGACCTCCATCCTGACCTCATCCTTTTTGCATATTAAAGTGGTTACAGAGCTCCCCACCAACACAAGATTCTGATAAGTCATAAGATATGTTAAGGTTCTAATTAGAAATGTTCAGATCACAGAGAACATATTAAAACGTTCCAAAACTCAAAACAGTTCTACCTCTGAGAAGCTCTTCAAAGAAGTGGCTGGTGGTGAAGCCTTTATGACAGGCAGGCTCAGATCCCCAGAAAGCCCTTTCCTGCCTTTTGGGTTTTAGATAACTACCAAATTAAACCATATATTAGAGCCTCCACCAGAGCAAAGCTTTGTCAGAATTTTTTTACATGTTAAAATGATCTATATCCATCTATCTATAATTATTCTCCTATTTATATTAAGAGATTATATATCCCTAGTCTTATAAGCAACAGCTTCTTTAGAAAATGTCTTCTCTCCCTATTCAATAAATGGTGCTTGGAAAATTGGGCAGCCTCATGCAGAAGAATGGAATGGGATCCCTATCTCTCACCATATACAAAAAGTAACTCAAGGTGGATTAAAGACTTAAATGTAAGACCTGAAACTATAAAAATATTAGAAGAAATCCTTGATATTGGCCTAGGTAAAGAATTTATGGCTAAGAATGCAGAAGAAAATATTAATACAAGAAAAACAAAAATAAATAAATGAGAATTAAACTAAAAGGTTACTTACTGCACAACAAAAGAAATAATCAACAGAGTGAATAAACAACCTATGGAATGGGAGCCAATATTCACAAGCTATACATCTGACAAAAGACTAATATCCAGAATCTATAAGGAATTCAAATAAGTCAGCAAGGGAAAAAAACAAATAACTCCATTAAAAAGTAGGCAGAAAACATGAACAGATATTTTTCAAAAGAAGAGAAATAAATGGCTAACAAATATATGGAAAATGCTTAGCATCACTAGTCATCAGGGAAATGCAAATTAAAACCACAATGAGATACTACCCTACCCCTGTCAAAATGCCATTATTAAAAAGTCAAAAAAAAAAAATAGATGCTGGCATGGATGCAGGTTAAAAGGGAATGCTTATGCACTATTGGTGAAATGTAAATTAGTACAACCTCTGTGGAAAACAGTATAGAGATATCTCAAAGAGCTAAAAGTAGATCTACTATTCAATCCAGTAATCGCACTATTGGGTATCTACCCAAAGGAAAAGAAGGCATTTTATCAAAAAGACACCTGTACCACCTATATATTTATCACAGTGAAAAAAAAACATTGGTACCCCCCAAATCTATTAAAATAAAATTTTAAAAAAGAAAATATCTTCTATAAAGGTATACCTACAAAATAATTCTGCATTTTCAGCATAGATAATTTTAATCTACCAAAAAATAAATAAAACAGATTTAGTAGCATTTGCATTTTTAACTTAAAAATAAATCTATAAATTCATTATGTTAAAAAAACTTTTAGAAACACTTCATGACAAATGGAAGTAAGAAATGATTAAGTAAATTGTAATATATCCACTTATTTCTAATAAATCATATTAATAATATAGATACATTCTAATATTAAAAAGGATCATATGGTATACACACAATGACAATTATGTCAAATCTGTATGCATTTGAATAACAACACTAAAATACTGGAAAGAAGAGATATAAGAATAACAATAGTTGTGTGTTAATGTGATTATGAAAAACATTTTTTCTTTTTTCCAAACTTACTCTGTTGATTGTTATATGTATTTATAAATTAAATGATATTTTGGGCAAAATCTAAACAGACACTTAACCAATGAAGACTCAGATGTAAGTAAGTATATGAAAAGATGCCAATCATCATATGTCATTAGAGAGTTGGAAACTAAAATAGCAGTGAGACACTACTACACAGCTATTTTTTTATTTTAGCATATTATGGGGGTACAAGTGTTAAGGTTACTATATTGCCCATGCCCCCAACCCCCTCAAGTAAGAGCTTCAAGCATGTCCATCCCCAAATGTTGTGCATCTTACTCGTTGTGTTTGTATATACCCATCATCCCCTCCTTCCCCTCCTATTCTTCTGACACCCAATAAATGTTACTCTATATGTCCACTGAAGTGTTGATCCATTAATACTAATCTGCTGGTGAGTACATGTGGTGCTGGCTTTCCATTCTTGAGATATTTCACTTAGTAGAATGGGTTCCAGCTCTGTCCAGGAATATACAAGAGGTGCTATATCACCATTGTTTCTTAAAGCTGAGTAGTATTCCATGGTATACATATACCACATTTTATTAATCCACTCATCAATTGATGTTCACTTGGGTTGTTCCATAGCTTTGCAAATGTGAATTGTGCTGCTATAAACATTCAGTGCAGGTGTCTTTTTCATAAGTGACTTTTGATCTTTTGAGTAGATGACAGTAGTGAATTGCTGGATCAAATGGTAGATCTACTTGTATCACTTTGAAGTATCTCCATATTGCTTTCCACAGAGGTTGAACTAGTTTGCAGTCCCACCAGCAGTGTAGGAGTGTTCCTCTCTCTCCGCATCCACGCCAGCATTTGTTGTTTGGGGACTTTATGATAAAGGCCATTCTCACTGGAGTTAAGTGATATCTCATTGTGGTTTTGATTTGCATTTCCCTGATGATTAGAGATGTTGAACATTTTTTCATATGTTTGTTGGCCATCAGTGTTACCCACAGAACAGCACAATAAACACTCACAAATGTAAATCTGCTCAAAGCTAAAGATCAAAGCCCAGACACTACACACCTATTAAAATGGCCCAAATCCAGAACACTGACACCAAATGCTGGTGAGAATGTGGAGCAAGAGGAAGTCTGATTTATTGCTGGTGGGAAAGCAAATGTTATAGCCACTTCAGAAGATAGTTCAGTGGCTTCTTACAAAACTAAATATATTCTTACCATATGATCCAGCCATCATATGCTCATTAGTATTTATCCAAATGAATTGAAAATTTATGCCCATACAAAACCTGCATATTGCTATTTATAGCACCTTTATTCATAATTGCCAAAATGGAAAGCAACCAAGATGTCCTTCAGTAGGTGAATGGATAAATAAACTGTGGTACATCCAGACAATAGAATATTGTTCAGTGCTAAAAAAAAAATGAGTTATCAAGCCATGAAAAATATAAAGGAAACTTAAATGTATATGACCAAGTGAAACAAAGCAATCTAAAAAGGCTCCGTACTGTATGATTCTAACTATATGACATTCTGGAAAAGTCAAAACTATGGAAACAGTAAAAAGATCAATGGTTGACAGGGATTGAAGGAAGGAGGAGTGAATAGGCAAAACACAGAGGATTTTTAGACCAGTCACTACTGCGTATGATACTGTATTGGTAAATACATGTCATTATACACTTATCAAAACCCATATAATGTACAACATAAAGCACGAACCCTAACGTAAACTACATATAAATGACCACATTAATGTAAGATGCTATTAATAGGGGAAACTGCTGTGTGAGTGAGGTAGGGTGCATATGAGAACCCCCTGTACTTTCTGCTCAATTTTTCTGCAAACCTAAAACTGCTCTAAAAAGTAAGACTATTAAAAATGATCATTTTAATGTGATTCACAAAATCATCAGTAAATTTTAGTTTTGCTTTTTATTCAGTCTGCTTAATTTTTGAGTTTTAAGATATCCTTTTGCATTTCCAAAAATTTTACAAATTTTCTGCATAAATTGGAAAACAAAATTACATAGGGCAAACATTTCTCAGGCTTATGTATATCTTAGAATATGTTTTAGAAAGATTTCTATTTAAATATATACCTAATGGCTTGTGATTTTTAACAATTTCTATTGTCTCTGTAACGGAATTTACTCAAGATTTGACTTCTGTTGAAACGTCTAGGGGATTGAAATGGCAGATTTTACTTAAATCTGTATTTGCTGGATTTTTAAATGAATGGGACATTCACCTGTAAATATAGTCATGGCTGTATAAAGTTGGCTTTGTAAAGTATGCTTTCCAAAAATAATTCCCTTTTTCCTCCCGTGAGTTTCATCTCAAGCATTTGTAACTATATCCTCCACAGGTTTTTCCCCAAGTCCAGTATGCTTACACAGGCACTGAGTTGGCTCCTACTCATCACAAGATCAAAGCCGGCTTGTCTTTTCCTTAGGCATTTAATGTTTCTATTTACCGTCTTTTTGTTGCAGTCAAGTTCTTAAGTCCTTAGAAAAAAAATTTCCTTTTTGGGAGACTGTAGGGCTTTCTGAAGGCTAGTGTAAGAATCAATTATTACCCAGAAGTGATAGCCTTCCAAGGTAAAAGGACCAATCTGCAGCCAGGTTACTAAAGACCTAGCAATTTCAACATTTAAAGGAAACACAAATTTGCCAGGGGGGGAAAAATCATCTCTGTGGACAGGTAACATATAAGAAATATAAGACATACTGTAATAAACTACTCTTGATTGAAGACAACTTGGAAAAATTAAAAGCTTATCTGCATTTCCCTGGTAGCTCCTCATTCATACACGCTCCAGTTTAATAAAAAGGAAATAAAATAAAATAATAGCCATTGTGGTAGATGTGTATGGTTTGTTTTATTTAATTTTGAGCTCAATGGGCTTGAGGTCAAAATATTGATTTGGTGGTCTATAGTTAGCTCCCCATGTGTGGGAAAGGGCTATTCTCCTTTGTTGTCATCACTTCTGTGTGGTTGAATTTTCTGGCTTCTTCTAAACCAATAGATTTCAGGTCCTGCCACCAGCACTACCTTCTTGCCAGACACTGTTCTTCTGTTTCCAAATCTGTTGGGACAGGAAGTTAACACAACTGACCCCTTGGAATGGAACAGGGAGCACAAGCTTACTTGCTGCCCCAATCCCTCCACTTATCCATGTCATTTATATCCTGGCAGGATCTCCAGAAGCAAAGATAACAGATAGAAGCAATCTAAGCAAATATCTATAGCTCTTTATCCACTTATCGTAGAGTTTAAACACATGAAATAACCTCAGTAGACTTCTCTACGGACACACCTGCACATGTGTTAAAGTATAACATGACCAATTATTTTCAAAGCCACATTTTTCTGGTTCCACTTTGATTATATAACCCTTTGAGACTCATGGTCCATAAAAATTAATTCTTTTACAAAATACTTTTTTTCCTGTCCCTGGTACATTTTGAGGATAACAAACCTATTGAATTGAAAAATAAAAAAAATAAAAAAGACTCACTTAAAAGTATTTACCTTTTGCAGATTCACTGGGATTTGTAAGAAATTCTTTTTTTCTTTTTACAGTATAGCTGTCTCATAGCACTAATTTTATTAAGTTTACATGATTCCAAGATTAACAATGGTAGATTTAACAAAATAATTTTTTAAATCTTCATAAAATAACTTAGCTAATGGATATGTGTTTACTTTGTAATAAAGAGAAACAAAGTCCTTTCTGAAATTTTTACTAGGGGACTGCGAACATTGCCTTGTATACTGGTTTCATATTTGCGTGTTGGAAATAAACTTAACCCAAGCAGAAAAACCCACCACGTCACTTTCCCATGATAGACTATAGCGGTTAAAGATAGGGACTGGTAGCTTACAGGGGCCATTGTGAGAACATCACCTTTGAGACTCAATTGCCAAAAATACAAAACAAACAACAAAAACCCAGGTACCACTTCTCATGAAACCAATCAATTCCAGTCCTAAGCAATCAACTTCCCCTCATAGAAGCCAATAAACAAAGCTGAAATTTCCCTGCCCTTTGTCCTCTTCTCTTCCTTCTTTATCCCCTCTTCTTTCTTTTCTGCTCTCCATCCTTATAACCCAGCCCTACCTTTTCTCATTCATCATAGAATGACTAGTCTGAAATATGTCCCACCAAATTTACGGTACACATTAGCTACCATGTGTTAAAGACATGTGTGCCTTCCCAGTCTCTCTCATGGCTTTTTTAATCCCTTAATTCTCATCTCTTCTCTCATTCTTTATTTCCACAGAATTTACATTTGAATAAAACTTTTTCTCCACATTTTGATACAAATTGACTGAGGTTGTAAGCATCCCACTACAGAGTTCTGGTATACTTGCTCAGAGTTTTTAAAAACTAGACTGATTTCATCCCTTTACTCCCAGTGACCCTCCAAAAAGGAAGATGGACTACTCTAAAACTGATTCAGATTGATAAAGTATTCTGCCTTTATTTAAAGAGTTCATCTTACCTCAACCTCTCTTTTCATTCACTAAATAGATTCTGCAGCCCTTGTGTGAGAAAATTGGCCTCCCTTATCTGCTTTGATCCAGAAAATTATGTTTTTATTAACACAAACATTTCCTGATTTCTGCCAAAGCATTTTAAAATTTCAAATTATGTGTGTTCATCATTTATCAAAATGTCATCGGGCTCCAGGAATGCCAAGCATTCAAACTGGGCAACCCATATCATATATGTGGATTCATTCTAAGTGAGGGACACGGCGATGGTAATCTTGGTCCCTAAAGTAGCTGCAGTTAGCTGTATATTTTTTATTTCAAGGAAAGAAACATAATAGTAAATTCCAATGAAACCTCACTATGTTGTGGGATCTCAAGGGAAAATGCAGATTCCCATCTGTCCTTTAAGCAGTAGAAAAGATGAAAACAACATTTTGTACTAAGACATGATCTGATTTTGGTGAGTGAGTTGAAAAAAGAGTAGTATTTTCAGTGATATTACAAACATGCAGCAACATACCAGTAACAATTTTGATGAGAGGAAGGGGAAACAAACAGAAAAATCTTTAATCTTACTGGAAAATGCCTTTGGTCAGTTTTCAGCTATGTACATGCCTTTCAACAAATTCTTTTCAAACTCGAATATTCAAAATTGTCTTGATCTATGTTTTCTCTGTCCATTTCAGTCTTCTCTGGAACACAGAAAGACAAATACCCTCTGCCTCCATCAAAAGTAACATTTGATCATCCAGAGCTTGTTTAATTATTTTAAACTGTGTCCAGAATTTCAATTTAAAAATTCTAGAGAATAAAGAAACAATATATCAAAGGAACAGATAACTCAGATATTGGAATTATCAGATGTAAAATTTAAAGTCACTATGTATTCATATGTTCAAAAAAACAGAAGATGGAGGGTTTTACCAGATAATTGGAATCTATAAAAAGGAACAAAATGGAAATTCTAAGACTAAAAACACAATAACTGAAACAAAGACCTTAACAATCTGGAAGACTAGACATAGCTGAGGAAAGAATTAGGGAACTAGAAGTTAGGTAAGTATACAATATACTGATGGAAGTCTGGAGAACAAAAAAGATGGAAACTACATATAAGAGTGAAAAGGACATTTGGCATCTGGGACATGGGGAAAAGTTCTAACATACATGCAACACCATCTCCCTAGAGAAGGGAAAAAGAGAGAATGGGGCAAGGGCTACATTTAATAGTAAATATCAAGAACATTCCAAATCCTGAAAGATATCAAGTTGTAGATTCAAGAGGTGCTTCAAAGTCCAGAGAAGGTAATTAAAAAGAAAACCACATCTAAGCACATCACAATAAAGCAGCTGAAAACCAAAGACAAGGAAAACATCACAAAAAGACACAAAAAGAAGATACATTATTTTTAAAGTTTTATTATCACAAGAGTGATAGCTGACTTTTCAACAGAGAAGGTATAAGACAGAAGACAATGGAATTATATGAACAAGGTGTGAAAAACAAAATCTGCAAGTAGTGAAAATATCTTTCAAAAGTGAAGCAACATAGACACTTGTACACATTCACCATCAGTAGCATAAACAAAAGGGCTGTTAAATAGCAAAAGGTAGTACTTCCAGCAGAAGGAAAATAATTTCAAAGGAAAACACAAAAATTTAGGAAAAGTAGATAGGCCAAACTTGGGGCAAATCTAAAGAAATGTTGACTATCCCAAATAATAACAATAATAGTAGTAGCAAAAGTAATAATATCTTAAGAAGGTTAAAATACATGTAGAGTTAAAATGCATGACAACATAGCATTCAAGGGTTGGGGGAAGGATAATGGAGTTCAATGTTTAAGCTCTTAGCATTGACAGGAATGTTGAAAAAGTACTAATTTATATTAATTTTAATAATCCACAGACAGATGTTAATCTCTAGGGAAATTACTAGAAGAATAGTGAAAGAATGTATAACCAGCATACCAATAGAAGAGAAATAAATGAAATAATCCAAAATTGACTAATTCAAAATAAGAAAGAAAAAAAAGGGGGTGGTCATAAAGCAACTGGGAAAAATCAAATTGAACACAACTAATAATGTGATAAATATTAAATTATAGGTGGTCCCCAGGTTACGGACAAGATATGTCCCTGAGAACATCTTTAGAGCAGACTTGTATGTAACTAGATCCCTGATGAGCGGCAAGTTTAAGGTAATAATAGCAATAATAACAATACTATAATGGCTCATATGTCCTAATAAGAATATAGTATAATACTAGTAATAATACTCCTGTAATAATAAGTTACAGAAACTGTTGTGCTCTTTCTTTTAATTCAGACAAACAGAACATAATAATAAACTGATACAATGAGTTTAGATAGGAGATAGGAGAAATTTCAAAAGAGAATACTAAAGGTTAACACTCACCCAATATTGCATCAACGCTAAGCTAATAGGAATGGTACACTTATTTTGATCTTATTTTGATTATCAATAATAACTTTTCCATTTCAATAATTAATCTGCCATGCTGCTTAGTAATAATTGAGGCCTTTCACATGTTCCCTTATTCTTATTTTATCCTTTGTAATTGTTGCAGTAGTTGAGCCACTGAAGCCTAATGTTTTTCCAGGGGATGATGGCATCTGGCCTTTCTCTGAATGCTTATCTATGTCTACTTTTGTTCCATTGTAATCATCTTTCTCTTTGCTGCAGGCTCACCTGGACTTGCACTACACTTTTGCTTTGGAGGTATGGTTGAAGGGGAAACACAGATTCACAAAATTGAGTAAGAAAGACCAAAGCGATGCTGTGCGTAAGTGACAGATAAACAGCCACTAGCATAAAGATGTTATGCCAATGAACTGCCTATGCCATGCGGGTTTGCTTACATGTGCAGAAGGAAGTAGTTCCCGAATTATTAATTTAATTTTCTTAATTATAAATTATCCTTATGGAGAGCCTTGGGAGCCCATTCAGAAATACAGAACGCTGTAAGTAGGGTAATCCATAAACTGGGGACTGCCTGTAGTTTATATTTTGTGCATCCATTGATCGTTTAGAAGTAGCTGTGCAGTGTGGTGAACAAAGTCTAATTGATCTGAATCAAAAATGTGCTATTGCTAATGTACAAAAAAGATTATAATAAAATATTATCAATAGTTAATGATTTTTGCTTGTTTATGACACCCTGAGCATTTTATTAATATATCTCATTCTGTCCTTTTGAATTTATTAGCCCTATTTTATACACACACACACACACACACACACACTGAGTTTCACGCAGTACCTGAGCTCAGGCTGCTATAGCAAAATACCTATTAGACTGGGTGTGGTTGTCTTAAATGTCTTAAATAACAGACATTTATTTCTCACAGGAGGCTGAGAATTTCAAGATCAAGGTTCTGACAGATACAGTGGCGGGCAAGGGCCCTCTTGCTCTATTTTCACATGGCAAAGAGAGAGAGGAAATCCTGGTGTCTCTTCCTCTTTTTATAATGGCACTAATTCCATCATGGGGGCTCCACCCTCATATCTCATCTAAATCTAATTACCTTCCAAAAGCCCCACCTCTCTACACCATCATATTGGGGG